GCGCACCACGGGGTTATACGGCGAGGGCTCCCCCGCAACCCCCTTAAACGGCAGCCCGCCCCTTACAAACCGCGCCTCTTCCACATCGACCCGCACGGCGAGTTTCGTGCGCGGCATATACTTCGCCGCCGCCTCGCCAACCAGGATCGTTGTGCGACCGGTGAGATACAGCACATCGCCCGTCTCGAAATCCGGGACAACGAGTCCCGCGCACGGGTTCTGGTGCAAGTTCCCCAGCGTCTGGTACAGGCGATTTCCAGAATACTCCGGGTAAACAAGCGAAATCCCGCCTCCCCCCTCCTCATTCCTTAGCACGCGCATAAACCCCGGCGCGCCGCCGCGGTGATTCGCATCCATAGTGCGGCCACCGTGATGACTAGCAATAAAAAACAAATCCGCCTTCCCGATCAACTCCACAGCGGCCCGGGGTAACGGGATGCCAGACCCGCCACTCACGAGCTCCGGCTTCGGGACGCGGGGCACGATGGTTTTCTTGTTAAGGTACTTGGGGCAATTCCCCAGGCTCTCATCAACCAGCATCGCGAGCTGCAGCTCCGCGACCCCGGGCGCCGTGCGCGTCGCCGTGCCCACGGCCATGCGCCCCGCGAGCTTCACGCGGTCGCGGGTCTCGAGGTCGATGGATAGACCGGCCATAAGTCGGCCGCCTTCGGGTTTTACGACCGCGTCGTCTTCCCACTCTCCTGTCTCGTTTCCCTTCCCATCCTCGTCTTCTAGCAGCGCGGCGAGTACGGGGTCGAACCGCGCATCGACCGTTGCCCTGACGCCCAACACATCTCGCGCCACGGGACTACAGAACCCCGCCTCGCCGCCCCAAACCGTAGCCCAGGGCCTGCCCTTCTTGTCCAGAGCCCCGAACGCAACGAGCGGGGACCGCGCAACACGGTATCCCAGTGGCGCCGGCAAGTCGTAGTGCGTAGGGTTGTCGCCACGAGGAGGGAGCCGGAGGAGCTTGCGGACGGCTTTCTCGCCGGGGTGGAATGGTTCGGATTCGACGGTGGCGAGTTGTGCCATTACTGCTTGGCTACCAGGGAATCCAGCGAAATAGCACTCTGAAATCTCCTCTGCAAATCTGTATGATATATATAATGAGACGTTGATGAGTAGGGCCACTTGTATTAACTCCACTGCGAATACGAATCAAAGATACCTGGTATGTATGTGCGTTTCTCTCGTGGTGGACCAGACCACTATATTCCCGAACTTTTCACATTATATATATATATATATCAGATGGCCAAACCCGTCAACACTGATCCCCAGCTTCATATGTTCTATATGGATCGATATTGGTTGACGGGTGATTACCTGACTATTTTTCCGCGGTGAGTGATCATCGTTGACGCCATCGGGAAACAACCACGACGGGGAGCCATGACTACTAGGGTTATTTGTAATCCAAAAAGGGCGCGCCGAGCAAATTGGCATTCAAACCCCGAACGTGTTTAGCTCAAAAGGCGGCTTGTCCAAGAGGAGGAATAAAGCCCTATCACTGAAGACCAACTAGCCATTGCCTAACGGGTATAAACGTTTTTAAGAGGCCGAAGAATATCCGTAGTCTCAGCTAAGTACCTGCATGTAGGTAATAGCCGTAACTACTACAACTAATATCAGCGAATATAGTACATCAGGTTTATTTCATTAAAAAAAATCATCGGATCTGCCTTCAAACGCCACTTTGTCCGGATGGCTCCTATATGGGACGGCCTTCCGCCCGCTCATGCCAGCTAGACCATAAAGAAGGACATCGCTAATGTTACCACATACTCAAATGGTATGTGGTTAGGGTATCCATTATCACCAAACCCCCTGTACGTAACAACCGTCATTCAATAGAACTACTAGTATCTTGGATAACCATGTTGCGCTTCCAAATCACCGTCGTAATTATACCCCTGTCCCATGTTTCTCTGACCAGCAGCCGGTCCTGGCCGTTGCGGAAAATACCCTTCAGGTTGTCGAGGCGGCATCGGAGCTGTCATATTCCGTTGCGGCGGGGGCCTCTGGGCTAAGGAGGCGGGATTCGTGATACTGCGGGGTGGATAAGGGCGACCACTACCATAAGACCCATTGGAAACGTGTCCAGGGTTCGAGTAGATAGATGGAGCTGGACTAGAGCGTCCACCACTGAAGCGCTCGACCGGACGAGGCAGAGGTCGGTTGTATCCATCCATCGGGGGTGGAGAACGAATAGACGGAGGTATCGACGACGCCTCCGGCGAATATGCGGACGGGCTTGCGGCGTAGCCACCACCATTACCAAATCCGCTTCCGTTTGTCAGCACACGGCCGGGTTGGCCGGGCTGAGGGCCAGGACCAAAGCCCTGATTTGAGGATGTGGTTCCTGGTCGGGAGGGCGGTTGGTAGTTATTGAAATCAATTTGCGGTAGGGAAGGCGCTGGAGAAGCCGACCGATCAAAGCCCATCGCGGCCGCATTGCCCACCAAGGGGGTACGGGAAGACAAGCTGGACGCGGAAACGTCCGTGGCTGTCGTTCCTTGTCGTGTGACAGCTGGGCGCTTCTGGTCCCAGGAACTAAGTTCAATACTATTCGAGGAACCAGGTCGTGAGGTATACGGTGGTAGGGTAGCCATAGTGTCGTTACGGTTAAGCATAGGCATCTCTGGCAGCTTATCGTCATTACCCTCGTCCATAAAAGTCGGGAGAGTCGCCTGTCGTCCAATAGGTGGCTTCTCGCCTGCTTTCTTAGCGGCTTTATATTCCGCCTTCATCCGGTCTCGCTCCTCCTTAGCCAGAGCCTTATTGACCTTGGCTGTCACGATAGTCTTCAATCGTTTGTTGACCTTCCGTTCACAATAGCCGTGGAGGCCGCCATCTTGACGGGGAATATAGTGCCATAGGAAGAAGACGTAGAACAGGGTTGCAAGGAGTAGGAATAGGGCGGAAAACACCCAGATAACCAAGGTAAACACCATGCCTGATAGGATCACAACCTGTTGCTTGTTTTCGTCCGCAAGGTGCTGGAGTTTTCCAAAGAAAGTCCCGAGCGTGCTCTGCACACTGGAAACGTCGGTAGGGATAAGATCAGACCTGTAGACCGAGTACAAAGTTAGGGCGTTCACGACCTGACGTGGTCCAGAACAGAATATAACTCGGATCCAAGCTGAAGAATGTGTTAGCATGTACTTTACTCCATTACATACTCGTCCAGGATTTTTACTCACATTGAAAGCTGAAGTACGTAAAGAGTGCAACATATTCAGCGCCTTTCTTGGATTTAGTCAATTCGGCGAAGACTAGGAAACGCCTCCATCCTTGGCCTTCTCCGATCTTAACACTCTCCAAGCGGACGGCTAGGCTGTCAAGATAACATTCAGCGACACTGCCCCGCTTCATGACCCTCATAGCCCGAAGATGTTCGAAGCCTAGGTTGACGAAGGAGGCGATGATGCAAGCCGAAAAGATCCATTTCGAAACATCGAACGGAATAAGCTGTGTGGGCTCAATGGTAGACGACCAGGTGTTGAAGGCTAGCAAATTGATAGCAGTAAATGTATCGACACCATAGACGGCTACGGATAGAAGAAGAGAGAAGTAGAGGTAGCCGAAGGCGAGAGGAGTAAAGCAAGATGATGACTTGAAATCTCTCAGACTCTGAATGAGACGGTTAGATTGAAATTCGGGTGATACAACTCGCATAGTTACAGGGAACTTACAATAGCATCCCACTTCTGCTCAGGACGAATCTCGTCCTGTGTCTTACCTCGGAACCATCCCATATTGTTGATGGAAGCCGGTCGCCGTGAGAATCCGGCGACTCAAGAGCGGGAAACAGAAGAAGAGGGTATATCGAAAGTTCGCCGGTAAGAAATGGGCTTCGGAGAATAGAACCGAATTGAACGTAGTCACAGTCGTGGTGCTCCGTCGTTGTATATGTCGTCGTCAATCAATGATCAATCGTAAAAGCGGTCCGGCCGTCTTGCACAGTCGCACTCCCTCGCCCGCGAAGTATTCGACTGTGCTATCGAATAAGGAAGAGAGCAAGGGCTCGGAAGGATGTCAAGGAGACTTTTCTAGAAAAGAATAGATTCCCAAATGGGATTCGTAAGAGGGACAAATGTCGTCTTAGACCAGGAGACGTTGGAAACGAGCCGTCAGTAATGACAGGTCTCAGTGCGCTGCACTAACTAGAAGACATGCCAGACAGGCTTTAGCTAGTAGGTGTCTGAATGGCAGTGAAAAATGCGGGAGGCCGCTATTGCGGTCTCATTGCAGCGGAGGGCTATTCCTGGACCTGGGAACTTTAGGGACTTTGGGACCCGGAGATCCTAAGTTCTCCGGCACGTCTGTTTGGTTGATGCTCTCTGGCCTAATCGATGGGTCCGAGTGATGTCTCGGAATGAGGGTTTTGCTGAACTCTAGTAGCGAGAGACGAGAGTCGACTGCCAAAGCAGTGGATACCTGGGAAGCGCGGGTCGTATGTTGGGTAATGTTCGCTCGGCTTCGTTTGATCGACCACTGGGGCAGCGCCTGCACGGAGTCTCAAAAGATTGGATTAGGTTAAAGGATATGTAGATGTTGCGGGAATTGTGGATTGAAATGAGTGAATAGTGGTAATTAACCAAGGTGCTAAACAGACCAATGAACGAGTGTGATTGCGTTACTATTTGCAAAAGTCTCAATTTGCAATCGAGGGAGTCACTATCACAGCCATTGTATTATGGAGGAGAGACGAGAGACAAATGGATGTCGACTCTTGCGACCGGTTGAATGAGGGACAGAAAAGGAGTTTGAGAGGCAGGGTCCCTAGTAAGAGCACTGAGGGGATTGGCGCCAGGTACATACTGTAGGTACCACTTAACTTCTGTAGGAGATAAAGCACAACACAAAAGGAGATTAGCGTATTTCGGCATTTACTGAATATCTAGGTAGATAAGAAAAATATAAGAAATACCTGACATGGGTGTGTCCCATACAAAACTCAAAAATTATATTACCCGATTTAGTATAATATGTGATTCCACGCGACGTGGGACTCGAACCCACAGCCTTCAAGTCGCTAAAATGATAGAAGCTTGATGCTCTACCATTGAGCCAGCCGCGCTTAGGTACAAGTGTCTAATACACTTACTTATGGTCTCTATGACTAGAATTGGGTGAACTGGACCTCCGTTTGGTCAATGATACCCTTGATAGTTTAGCGCCTCTAGTCAAATAGCGCAAAATATTGCTCCATCCACTGAAAATTAAAGACCAAATAGCACTAGGTAGGCTCCAGTAGCAGCTTACCCCGATTGCGGCTACTGCACTGCAAACAATCAGGGGTCTACTCGGTTCAACTGTTGATTGGATCACATACCCCAGGTATGCAAGGTACGGGTTCTAAATTCAGCTTAGCGCCGAACCCCTTGTGGCTCCTCCGTGGTTTGAGAGTTTGGCGCGGGGGTTCCCTTTTGGCGTCAGTAAGTCTAACGGCACAGATGAATTTTGCTAACGGCACAGATGTTCCACTTTTCTCGTGACATCAACAGCTTACATTATCAACAACTCAGTACTTAAATGATAAATATATTACTTAATATATAAAAGATTTATTTTTAAAAAACTAAATAGAGTAAAATTGAATGAAAGTAGATCTATCGATAGAATTATAATACATATTTTTTGAAATTAATTAAAACGTTTTAAAAAATTTTAATATATGAATTTTAAAATAATTTTAACTTTATGAAATTAAATGATAAAAATAGCATTTCTTTACTTTTATATAATTTATTGCTTCGGATAAACGTATATATTTATCCGGAGTTTTCCCGATGTTTTTCCGAGTCGATGCACGCATTTAAAATAAGTTATTTTATATAAATTATATATAAATTTTTAAAAAATGCCAAAACTTATTATTATAGTATATAAAATAAGATTTTATTTAAAAATTAAATAAACTTTTTATTCATTAAAATGAAATATTTTTACGAATTCTTTTCATCGTTTTATAAATATTTTAAAAATAAAAAAAAATCAATGAAAAGAAATTTTTTAAAATTTAATAAATTACGTAATACTATTTTTAAATTTGAAATATATATTAAAGAATACATTCATAATTATTAAATTAAATAAATCCTATTTATATATATGTTTTATTTTTCATTATGCATTTATAATTGAATACGTGTTGAGTTGGTTAATGCGCAACGCTAAGTCATGGGAAAAGTGGAACATCTGTGCCGTTAGCAAAATTCATCTGTGCCGTTAGACTTACTGTTTTGGCGTCAATGTACCTAACATCGAATTGATATTTCCCCGTCTCGCCAATGCACCTGGGTAGGTACATATTTTGAGGCAACCGAGAGGTAGCATTGGACAAATCTCTACCTAACAGCAACATCCAATCTAGAGTAAACACGAAACATTGAAACGTCAAGAATTTATTATTTATTCTCCAAGATCCCCAAAACAAGTAGGCGGTTATAATCCTCTTACCATCGTAATAGAGTTGTTGAGGCAAGTCCGCGTCAAGTTCGTCTTACGCGATCTGCGGCGAGTGTTCCATCAATTCGACTTAGTTTTAAATTCCCTCAGCCAACAGAACAAACCGCCTCCGGTATCCTAATTCTGATAGGCCAGTAAGTAACGATGCGCTTCTAAATATACTCTCACGACAAAGTCAACAGACCCTCAAATATAATACGTGGCTAGGACACAAGACTGTACCAGTTTATTATAGTTTGAAGCAATACCCACCTTTGTTTGCATTCAGCGTTTAAGTCAATTTTCTTTGTCGGGTGTCTAACAAACGAAGACCTGGACAATACCGGTCTTACGGATCTCCTCCTACGCCTACATAGTGATCCTACGCCAAAGGTAGCAATATAAGTCGTTCATGAAAAGTCGTTAATCTCCATAGGCATGTATCCAGCTTGAAACGTATCCTCTCGCGGTAGCATGTTCTGCTGCTGGCAAGTTCCAGGCGATTGGGGGTTTCATTTTCGTCACTTTGACCTCACATTATAAGATCAAAATGTGATACGATCATTGATGCCAGAACCTTCTTTCCTTTTGACCTCACATTATAAGATCAAAATGTGATACGATCATTGATGCCAGAACCTTCTTTCCTTTTGGCCAAGTAGCTTTGCGATGGAATGGACAATGGATGCCTAGGTTACTAGAGTTATTCCGCTGGAAGGGGAACTAGCTGAAGAATCCTGGACGGATCTGTCTTTGGAATGTGAGTCTTTGTACGCATGCGAAGAACAAAGGCATTGAAAAGTGTCGATACTCCAGGAGCCTGCCTCAATATACCTCATTACCCAAGTTGAAGCTTTCCTTGGGCTAATCTACAGTATTTTCTCCCACATTATCCTGCGTTCTGAGTGTCTCGACTATTTTGCGAGAAGGTGTCGCCACCATGGTTTTCAAAAATCCGTACGAAGACGACTCGTCGGCGATGGGATATGAATTCGTTACTGAGTTGTCCCCTGGAATCTGGAAGACTTCCCGCAAGACCGACCGAGTAGAACATCTTGCCCACGACCTTTCCAATTTGTTGATCACGGACTCCGCCGATGAAGAGAAGAACAAGACCGACCTGTATCGTCTGATGAACTCGGAGAACCTAGACCTCGCTGAACCACTCGGCATTATTCTGAACCATCAAAACCTGCTCTCGTTGAAGGAATTCGTCACCATTCAGCGGCCTATAATAGGTCAACCCCAGGAACAATACTTCGCCGTCTGGGATTTCTGTGACGCCGGTACCCTTGCGAACCTGCTCGTTAGGCCAAACGCGCTCCCCTTGAATACTAAACTATACCCCGGTGACGACCCCAATGGCCCAAAACCAAACAGAGATGTGGACGAGAGTAACATGACATTGGACCCTCAATTTCTCGATCCTGAAGGGGAGGGAGAACCAATGGAGACGGACGAAAACGTACCAGGAACGAAGCACTTACCAGAATCATTATGCTGGCATGTGCTCACGTCGGTCATGAGAGCCCTAGCTTGGCTACATGATGGCTCTCGGGACATCCAATGGGGAAGTAACACCGCTCCGTCTCGAGTAAAATACGATAGAAACTGGGAGCCCATGCTACACCGCAATGTCATTCCTGAAAACATATTTCTCATGCATCCCAAGCGGAATGAGACGTACGGGAGCTGCAAGCTAGGCAACTATAGTCAGCTATACATTACCAGCCATCAACCAGGAGACGGCAAGAAGATAGGCGAGCGACACAGGAGTAAAGCCTTGGCTCCACCTCGGGGCGTAGAATTTCAACCACTCGAGGAACTCGTCCAACTAGACGAGAGGTATGGGTATACCTATCCTCAGCAAGTAAGTCCATGTGCCTCCCTTACTTCTGCTTAACTCGTGTACTCACAACATATCCAGCCCGACCAGCCGTACACCGTAGTTAGCGAAATCAGAGCGCTCGGCGAAGCCCTGCAAGCGATGATGCTGCCACCTGTGTACGACGGAAATAACCTAGCGGGGGTCCGCCATAGGTCCGTGGAGGACAATCTCCGAAGGACGGCTTACACGAACAACCTGAAAAACATGGTGCTGTTGTTGATGACGGGCAATCCGGACGAGACGAACGAAGACGGCAGCTACGTGTTCGGAGATGACCGCGAACACTTCACCACCCGCATCTGCTTCGAAGTCCACTGGGCATTCCTGAGCTGGAGAGAATCTGCCGACCCCGACGCGAAGATGTTCGTCGCGGAAGAAGAGCTGCTCGTAGAACAAGTGAAGGAGGATTTGGAGGAGCAAACCGTAGAGCAGAGCGCCAAACAGACAACCGAGGACTACTTGAACGAATTGGAGCGGCGGGCGAATTTGGATATGGACCCTGCGCTCATATCCGAAATGCTGGCTTTGTTCTCGGAGGACGAGGATCACGAGATCCCAGATCTGACGCCTCCGCCCACTCCACCTGGCGAGTATGTCGAGAACTACGATGTTGAGCTAATCAATGTGGCTGAGCTTCCGGAACCTGATCCGAGCTCCTTCGGTCGTTATTCCGATTCTTCTGATGATGATAAATAGGCAGAGTCATCAGCGAAGTATGGATGGATCCCCCTACGTGAGGTTGATGGTCTAGAGTGGTAATCGGGACGAGAACCACCAGGAGGAAATGTCTAGGAGCCTTTTTTGATATCACGTACGAAGCAAGTGTTGGTTGGCCGATGGTTTCGGCCAGTTTAAGTACCTAAGCATTGTATTGTAATGGCTGCCAATGCAGCATGTTAGTTGTCTTAGAGAAGTTATTTGGTGTGATATTTACTTAGTATATCTCGTCTTCTAAAGTTGTATCTGGTGGAACGTATGAACTAGCAAGATCAATTACTACTAGTTATGTTTCACTTTTCCTAAGCCATTCATTCTTATCCGAATTTTAGCTGCTGAGTATGCTACTTAGTTTGTGTCTCCCAATACTTCCACGTCCCATTGATCCACAGCCCCCTTACGAATTCCGCCATCCCGTAACCTTTCTGCCACCCAGCCCCCTTGGATCTCTCCTCGCTGATCTTCCAGAATAAAGTTCCCTCGTAGCAAGCTCTCAAATCATCTTTCCAGACTCGGCCATCTTTCTGCAACAGGAGCCACGTCGTCCACCATTCCATAAACGCAAAGCTCCAGCCCGCCGGATCGGCAGCACAGCGGTCCTTCCTCAGCAACTCCGCCAGATCGCCAACATCAAGGCCCCCGGTTCCAGACCTGTCAAACCGGTCAAACATGCGATCGAACCTCTCTTCGCTAAAGTTCCCGTCCAGGTCGTAGGCGCCGGAGTCCGAACCGTGCTTCGCCTTGTGGATGTCGTCCACGTATATGCGCAGAAACGGATCGGGTATCCAGGAGTGGCCTAACCGCGTCGGATAGGAGAAGAAGACGGGGATGAGTAGGGAGCCGAGGGAAAAGAGGATGCAGAATCCCAATTCGCGGAACCCGTTGTACACATCCCACGGCCAGATAACCCCGTCATTGTCGCGGTCAAAGAATTCTACGTGTTTCTGAAGGGCCGTCTGGGGTTTCTTCGGTGACGGTTTTATGGGATGTTCATTTTCCAAGAGCAAGTGCCCTTCACCGTCGCC